TTTGTGGCTTAGAAAATTTTGTGATAGTAATACAGAAATTACAGACTTGCCTTCATCTACTGACTTGCCTCCATCTACTGATTTGCCTCCTTCTGTACCTCCTGCTTCATCTACATGTACTTCATCTGCTTGCTTACCAGCATCTCAGTCATCCATTGCTACTTCAAGTAATCTTCTTATTGGTGAGGGAGCTCCTCGAGTTTCTACTTTTAAAAAGATTTTAAAACCACCACAGCCTGAGATAACAAAACCTCCTAATTATCCAAGGAATTATAGCAAAGTTCTCACAAGTGCTGAAAATCTTAAAATATTACATAATAAGGAGAGACTGAAGAATGAGATGTTAGCAGAGAAGGAAAGAAAAAGACAAGAGCAGGAAAGAAAAAAAGAGGAGAGGTTGGAAGAAACCAAGAGAAAAAAAGAAGAGAGAGAAAGAAAGAATAGAGAGAAAGAAATGGCAAGGACGAGAAGAAACAACAAAAAAGCTGCTGAAGATACATGTATCTCAGGTATATATAAGCATTGTCACTTAAATTAAAATTATTAATGTGCATGGCCAGAAGTATTTACTGTAATTTTAACTTGTTTAACCATTTAGATTACAGTATCTCACTTGAGGAAACTTGCTTGTTCTCATATGAGTCAAATGAGCCAAATAGAATTGCTGGACGTAGCACAAGGGCTACTAAAAGTAAGAAATGATGACAAAAATGAAATTATTATTCCTTTTATTAGGTGTTACTGCTAACGAGAGTATTGGAGGTACTAGAGTTGGTCGTGGTAAAAGGACTACCAAATGTAAGAGTTAATGACAAGAAACAAGAAATGTAATTATTGCTCTTTTATTAGGTGATACTGCTAATGAGAGTATGGGAAGTACTGGAGTTGGTCGTGGTACAAGAACTACTAAAAGTAAGAAATAATGACAGAAAATGTAATTATTGCTATTTTATTAGGTGTTACTTCTAATGAGAGTGTTGGTGTTACTGGAATTGGTCGTGGTAAAAGGACTACTAAAAGTAAGAAATAATGAAAAGAAATGTAACTATTGCGCTATTTTATTAGGTGTTACTGCTAATGAGAGTGTTGGTGTTACTGGAATTGGTCGTGGTAAAAGGACTACTAAAAGTAAGAAATAATGAAAAGAAATGTAA